TGGAGTTTTGAGAGGATGAAGAGAGGAGGCGGATGAGTTAGTCTTTAGGGTTTTTGGTTTTTTATTATTTTTGTTTTGTTTTTGTGTTTAGACCAAAAAATGAATAAAGGGGTTGGGTATTGGATTAATGGGGCGGACCGGGTCGACCCGTGTGAAGTGGACTGGGTCGTGGACAATTGTTTGGGCCTGGGGTTGAAAATTGAAGAAGTGGCCCAATCCGATTTTTATTTGTATTTTTGTTATCTTTTCTTCTTTTATTTTCTAAAACTAAATTATAAAAATACTTAAATTATTATTAAGAACTAAATTAAGTTATAAAAGCGCAAATTAACTCCCAATAACAATTAACGCACAATTAAGTAATAATTAAGCATAAAATTGTTCATTTGGACATTAAATGCTAAAAATGCAAAAGATGCCTATTTTTGTAATTTTTAATTTTTTTGTAAAACTAATTTAATTACTAACAATTGTAGAATGAAATCCTACATGCAAAATGCGACATATTTTTATATTTTTTATTAATTTAACAAATAAGCAAACACAGACAAATACAAATAATTATCCAAAAATATCACAAAAATACTCAAAATTGCACACCAAGGAAAATCATTTTATTTTGCATTTTCTGGGAGTATTTCTCATATAGGGCAAAAATCACGTGCTTACACTAGTGACCTCGCCCAAATATTCGCCCATAACATCTTTGGCCTCCCTTGTCCACCATTCTGTAAGATGAAGAGATGTGGCAGGCAGCTTTCTAACACGAGGGAAGGAACTGATCACTGGAGGATGAACTTTCAAGGTGAGAACTTTATCGGACTGATTTTGCTCGTCGCTCGTGATTTCAAGATGAGGGTGTGGCTTATTATGGTCACAAAATTGCATCTTGATTGCCAGAAGTCAAGGTTGTATACGTTGCATGAAAGGAATTGAGAAAAAAGATTAAAATTCATGAAGCATGTCCAAAATTGAAACAGAAAAATCAGATCCTGCAGCTAACTTTAAAAAAAATCATAGAAACCAGCACACAATGAATTGAAGTGCGAGTATTCGGTGTAAAAGTAGTCTCTGAAGTTTAGAATTCAAATGATCAAGTAGTGCTTGATTTTGGGCCTACGTCAAGATACAAGCTATCTAGTGAGCGCGCAAATCTGGAGACGCAATATAGCAAGATCGCAACTCTGAATTTCAGAATATTACCTGGATAAATATATTAGCTTTCTGGTCGTGATTTTTAAGCATGTCGAAGCTCCACGAGTCTACTTTCCAGCGCCATAAACCGTTTGTGATTTCGGTATTCCTTCAAAAAGTTATTAAGTTTCTCGTGACGATGCGCGAATCTAAAACCATCAGCGAATTCGAATTAAGAACCTGATTTCGAAGAGGTTACCTAAACAAATCTACGAGCTATGTGATCAGGATTTTCGGATATGTCAAGGTGCTACGAGTCTGCGTTCCAGCTCCACAAACCGTTAAGATTCAGGTGCTCCTACAACAAGTTATGAATTTTCTCCTGCAAGTTCTCCAAGCTGCCAGGAAAGTTCTGTCACAAAGACAATAAGGGAAGAACAACATTAGCTGCAAGCTTTGCTTCATCTGAGCATAATAAATTATATGATCAACCGGAAAATGAAAAGAAAGCAAGGCTAAGTCCATAACGCCGCAATAGAAGTTGGAACGATAGAAGACGTTTGTTCTATTAAGCACCATGATAAGAGGCAAACCAGACCAAAACAAGTGTATGAGGACTTACATAAAGGAAGGAAATACTCGAAAGAGTTGGTGTGAATATAATGCATCGGAATGAGTCCTTATATCGACCACCGAAGGTAGTGTTTGATTCGTTCCCAACATGGTTTCATTGAGCTGTCACTCTTTGAGAAGAACTCAAATTTCAGGATTGAGGAGTTTATATCCTAAAATTTCTGGACAAGAAAAGTTGGGTCCTAAAAGAAGACAAATTGAAAAAAAATACTACTCTCTCTTGTTCCTAAAAGAAAAGGGAGTTTTTGTTGGCATGAGTCCTAAAATATCTGGACAGGAAAACCGAGCAAGTGGAATACCAATTGAAAGTTTTTAAAAAAAATAAAAGGGCGCGACTTTCCATTTTTTTCAATTTCAAGTAGAGAACGACTTCATATAGTATTGATGGACTCAAGTCTGAAGTTATTGAGCAGGAATATCGCAAGGCGAATTCGAAAAGCCAAATCAATTCGATCCAAATGCTATATGTTGTAAATTCACAAGGTTGTATTTCCAAAATAGGAAAGGGCTTACAAGGAGTCAAGTTTGAGGTTCAGACAAGTTTGTCAATATTAGTACTTCAAGCCTCGCCGTTAAAGTTTGACAAGTCTACAAACCGATGCAACTTGAAGTAGGGGGCATCTGTAGACGATTGAATTTTATTTGAGTTTAAGTTCATTAAATTATTTGGACCACGTGATAAATTCAAAGACATGTCAGCCCAAACAAAGATTACTGGCTAGAATAATTGAATTTATTATTTAATCCAATATGCGTATATGGATTTAATTAAGAGCCTAAGTTAATTGGGCTAGTTCATCTTGTTGGACTTCAAATGATAAGCCCAAAATCCATGCCACGTGTCAAATGACATGGCACGCCAAGTCAAATCAAGGGCCACTAAAATCATGCCACGCGCATAAGTGATGTAGCATGCCAAGTCAAATGTAAGGACCAATCAAATGTCGCCAAATATTCAAATGACATGGTTCAACCAATTATGTGCAAGCTTATCACATAGCTTTAATGATAGGTTTGATGACTCAAGTTGGCCAATCAAATTGGAGGAAAAAGATATGTGTTTATCACAAGTTCCCTCCCCTCCAACTATAAATAAGGGGTCTCCATAAAGCTAAAGGGAGAAGAAAAAGGATATATATTGAAGTTCTCCTCCACAGTGGTGATTCGCAAGTCTTCCGAACAGCAAGAAGTCGTCGTCTCCAAGGGGTGAGCCGCAAGTTTTCCATCCTCCACGTTTGTGATCAAAGCCTAGCTCCGCATTCGTGGTCAAATCCCAACAACAAGTGGTCCATCAATTCAACAACAAGTGAAGCTCTTGAATTGACGGTCGTGAGGAGAAGAATCAGAGGATTACATCTTTTAAACTTAAGATTGTTCAAAGATTATAACCCGCGTAAATTATTGAAATACAAATACTTTTTTTGTCGCTATATTTCTTGTCTTGATTATTATTTTCAGGAACGAAATTTTAATTGTTACAGTTATATTCTCTAATTCACATGCCATAAATCTCTCAAACATTGCTGGGACTTTTAGACTATAGACCAGAAACAACCAGAGCAACAGCTAATGAGATGAAATAATTGAACAGGCCAAAATAGAAATGAGAAAGATGTCCCATTACTTTGTTTTTCAACATGATAATAATGTGAACTATATAAACAAGTCACAAACTAAAACATGACATTAAAATCATGCAAAGAAACTTTATCTTTGATTTTTTGGGCAAAGGACGACCCGGTGCACGAAGTACCTGTTAGGATCGAAAAATCAGGTGCCATGCGGAAGCTAATAATGCAAACCTTGAACGACGATAAATCATGCTACAAAAGAGAAATATACCAAAAGAGACACAAATATTTAATGTGGTTCGGTCAATTGACATGCGTCCATGGCGGAGATGAGCAATCCACTATAATAAAAGAGAGTACAAAATATAGAGAGAACAACCTCACAAAGAGGTAAACACAAGTAACACACTAACACTTGTCCCGTAACGTTCTCCCCCTAAACACGACTCTCAAACCCCATATGGATAAATTATGGATACTACTGAATGAGAAGGACGGATCTTCAATTTATAGAACTCCAAACCTTTTCCTACAAGAAAAGGGACTATCCAAATATGGAAGAATTATATTTTCCTTCTAGGAAAAGAAAAACTTTATTATGGTAAATATGTTGTCCTTTCCTTCATGAGATAGGAAAACCAATTATGGTAAGAAATTTGGACAAACACCTAACAATTCTCCCCCTTGGCCTGAATTTTCTGACGAAATAAACTTGATCCACCTTCTTCGCATAGCCTTCAATAGGGTCGCATCTCCAAATCTCCACCACAAAGTTTGTCTCAATGTGCGTAGCACACCGGCCAAATTTCTCAGATAAAAATTACTATTATTGTCAAATATGTTACGGCTAGAACTGAACCCTCCAAGATGAACCTGTCTTGAACATCGCTCTGATACCACTTGTTAGGACCGAAAAAACCAGGTGTCATGCGGAAGTTAGTAAAGCAACACTTGAACGACGATAAATCCGATAACAAAAGAGAAATATACCAAAAGAGATGCAAACATATAATATGGTTCGGTCAGTTGATCTACGTCCACAGCAGAGGTGAGTAATCCACTATATAAAAGGGAGTACAAAATATCGAGAGAATAACCTCATGAAGAGGCAAACACAAGTGACACACTAACACTTGTCCCATAAAGTTCTCCCCCTAAATACGATTCTCAAGCCCCCTATGGCTACATTGTGGATTTTACTTAATGAGAAGGACGGATCTTCAACTTATAGAACTCCAAACCTTTTCCTACAAGAAAAGGGACTAGACAAATATGGAAGAATAATATTTTCCTTCTAGAAAAATGAAAATCTAATTATGGTAAATATGTTGTCCTTTTCTTCGTGAGATAGGAAAATCAATTATGGTGAGAAAATCTGGACAAACACCTAATAATTCTCCCTTGTGGCCTGGATTTTCTGACAAAATAAACTTGACAAAATAATGTTTGGAGAAGCAAGATGAAAGATTTGTTATTCGTGAAGAAGATGCATCTACCCGTTTTTGCAGCTCATAAACCCGAGAATGTATCTGATGAAGATTAGGATTTCGAGCACCAACAAGTATGTGGATATATACGACAATGGGTTGAAGATAATGTTCGCAACCATATTGTGAACGAGACACATGCGAGATCATTGTGGGAAAAGCCAGAGACTCTTTATGCTTCAAAATATGGGAACAACAAGTTGTTCCTGCTAAAGTAATTGATGACCTTTAAATACAAGGAAGGCAGCCCTATCTTTGGTCACATAAATGATTTTCAGGGCGTCCTTGATCACCTGTCTAGAGTGAGAGTTAATTTTAATGATAAGATACAAGGACTTTAGCTTTTTAATACTCTACCAGACTCTTGGAAAACTCTTCGTGTTTCTTTGACAAATTCAACTCCTGAAGGTAAGGTGACCATTGAATATGCCAGGAGTGGTGTGTTGAACGGGGAAGTAAGGAGAAAATCTCAGGGTTTATCCTCACAAGCAGATATCTTGGTTACACAAGACCGGGGGAGAGATATAACAAGAGGCTCAAGGAATAGAGGTAAAAGTAGAAGTAAGCCAAGTTCCAAATACTATAATATTACATGCAACCACTGTGCCAAGATAGAACACATCAAAAGGTTTTGCCGCAAGTTGAATCAAGACATTAGAGAAGGAAAGAAAGCTGAAAATAACGAGAACAATGTTGCTGCTATTGTTCGATATAACCTTCTTTTTGCTTATGATGAAAACGTCATCAATTTGGTATCCCATGAGACGACCTGGATAGTAGATTCTGGAGCTACCTCACATGTCACACCAAGAAAAGACTTTTTCTCATCTTATACTCATGTTGATTCTAGAGTGTTAAAGATAGGCAATGCTAGTAAAGTTAAGGTGTTTGGTGTTGGCACAGTTTGTTTGAAAACTAATAATGGTTCAATGTTAGTTCTTCAAGATGTTAATCATTCTCCAGACTTTCCTTTCAATTTAATCTCCACAGGAAGATTAGACGATGAAGGTTACCATAATGCCCTATTTAAATGGCCAATGGAAGCTCACCAAGGGCTCGTTAGCAGTGGCTCGAGGAGTCAAGTATGGTCATTTATATGTGACATAGGGATATATTCATAATGACTCCATAAATCTTGTAGAAAGTGACACTTTATCAGAATTTTGGCACAGAAGATTGAGTCATATGAGCGAGAGGGGGATTACGTGTTTGGCTAAGAAAAGTTTGATTTCTGGAGTGAAACAAGCAAAGCTGAAAAGGTGTATCCATTGTTTAGCTGGAAAATAGAAAAAAGTTTCTTTTCATAGCCATCCTCCCTCAAGAAAGCCTGATTTATTGGAGCTAGTACACTCTGATTTGTGTGGTCCTTTTAAAGTAAAGTCAAAGGTGGTGCACTTTACTTTGTGACCTTCATTCGTGATCATTCTCGTAAGCTCTGGGTGTATCCTTTGAAATCTAAAGATCAAGCACTTGGCGTGTTTAAGGAATTTCAGACCTTAGCTGAGAGACAGAAGGGGAAGAAATTAAAATATATTCGCACCGATAATGGTGCTGAATATTGTGGTCATTTTGATAACTATTGCAAGGAACAAGGAATTCGCCATCAGAAACTCTGTCCAAGATGCCTCAATTGAATGATTTGGCAGAGAGGATGAATAGAACTCTAGTTGAGAGAGTTAGATGCTTACTTTCAGAAGCTAAACTTCCAAATACATTTGGACGGAAGCACTTAACATTGTTGTCTATATCATCTTGTTGTTGCTTTGGATGGTGATGTCCCAGACAGAATTTGGTTTACCAAAGATGTTTCTTATGATCACCTGAGAGTTTTTGGGTGTAAAGCTTCTGTGCATGTTCCTAAAGATGAGAGATCGAAACTGGATGTCAAAACTAAGCAGTGCATCTTTATTGGTTATGGTCAAGATAAGTTTGGGTATCGTTTTTATGATCCAGTTGACAATAAACTTATTAGAAGTCGTTATGCAATATTCTTTGAAAACTAGACTATTGAATGTATTGACAAAGCTGAGAAGATAGATTCTCATAATGAGAGCTTAGTTGATAGTGATCCAGTTTCTATTGCTAAGGCACCTATTGCACATGAATGAACCCAAGACAATGATGGAGACAGTGATCAAGAACAAAATGATCATCATGGTATAGATATTATGGATGCTTCAGTTGATGAAGTTGTGGTTGATCAGCAACCAATTCCTGCTCAAGTAACTACTTCGAATGCTCCTGAAACCTCTCTTAGAAGATCTAAAAAGGAGAAGCAAAAATCCATGCGCTATCCTCCTG